CTTATTTTAATAAAAGTCGTTATATTGTGAAGAATGATGTGATTGGCATTTGTAGTGAAGACGACCCCTTATATCAAACCAAACTGAAGAGTTTATCACACAATGAATGGCCTGTTATTTATTTTCGAGTCAATTCTCTCGAAGGGAACGGATGTTTAATCGATTCAAATCATTCAAATTTATACCAAACGGGAAGCACTCACAGCTATATTCCGTCGACTCTTGGGTCATATTATAGAACAAATGTTATGCAATTTGAAGATAATCCTAATCCGTGTGGATTAGAATCTTACATAAGAAGCCTATCGGAAATAGTAGCGCCTTATTTGATGCCTAATAATACATCGATCGGAACCGTTATGATTGAAGGACCCATCGGTTGTGGGAAGAAGACTATTGTGAGAGCCATGTGTAAGAACTGGAATTTACATCTTTATCACATCAACACTAATGACATTTTAGGTGACAGTGCAGTCCTAACTGAGACCAAGATTAAGACAAGTCTCTCCAAAGCAGCCTTTTATACACCAACTGTTGTCTTGATATCAAATATTAATATTTAGCGTTAATTGCAAACCATTTGCATAATTAGTTGCGTTTATTTCTCGTCAGTTTCGGGTATAAGACATGGGATTCAATGCAAAACCAATCAATGTTTCAAACAGTGCTTACAGTACACACTCTGTAAGCCACGCGTCTGTAACGCAACGTTTATTATAGCGAGTGTGAACTGTAGTGAATGACGTAATATATGTCTGAACCTCACAGTGCGTACAGTATTAGCCAATGGGAGTAGAGATGCGATGACTGTATTGACTGTAGAGCTGTATGTCATGAATGCGTGGATGCGTTGCGCAGGAGTTGTGTTATAGGCGTTGGAGACCTGCAGTGAAGCGTCATTTCATTGATTAGTAAAGCAATGAATGAGTGATTGAAAGCCAACGTCGAGTCGTCTCTCAAAACGATATCGAGTTTATTATTATTACAGTTAAACACTATTTACTGTTGAATCGACAAATCGGTGTCCGTTTGCCACAGCAGTGACCACAAGCAATGCCAGCGCCACCAGCCGTGACGAGTGCGGGTCCGCCCGGGGCTGAAGAGATGAACGGAGCGGTTGTGCCGAAGACTGAGTTGGAAGAGCTGCAGATGAAGGCCAACGCGGCGACCGACGACTCGCTGGAGTCGACCCGACGTATGCTCGCCCTCTGCGACGAGTCTAAGGAGGCGGGCATTCGGACACTCGTGGCGCTCGACGAACAGGGAGAACAACTCGACCGCATCGACGAAGACATGGATAAGATCAACACCGATATGAAAGAGGCCGAGAAGAACCTGACGGGAATGGAGAAGTGCTGCGGGATCTGTGTTTGTCCGTGCGGTAAGTCCAAGGACTTCAAGGAGGACGCGGGCACCTGGAAGTCCTCAGAAGACGGCAAGATTGTGTCCGGTCAGCCCCAGCGGGTGGTCGACGAGCGCAATGGCGGCGGCATTGTGTCGACCCAATACATCGGCCGCATTACGAAGGATGCGCGCGAAGACGAGATGGAGGACAATATGGGTCAGGTGTCGACTATGATCGGGAACCTGAGGAATATGGCCATCGATATGGGACAGGAGATCGGGTCGCAGAACCAACAGTTGGATCGAATCAACCAAAAAGCCGAGTCTAATAAGAACCGAATACAAGGCGCTAACGAAAGGGCACAAAAACTTCTTAAGTAAACGTATAAAACATCTCTTCTGGTCATCACTTTCCCATTGAATCAATCATTCAAAGAGTCGATCGTTTCGATTGTTTTTCTACAATATTTTTGTTATTTCTATCGTATTTTGAATCTGTTTTTTAAATCCTTTTAAAAATGTTTTATTTTTTTATTAATTTATTGCCAATTCTTTATGGAGTAATTGTTTCACAATTTATTTATTTGAATCACACTTTTTTAGTCATTGAGTTATTGTACAAACAATTGAAATGCTTTCGTCTGTTGTCTTGCGAACCAAAACTAACTCTAAGACAGTATTATATGAATTAATAATTGACTCTTCATTTGTCTTCATTTTGTAATACATTCTCTTATATTATAATTGATATAAATATATCTAATATATGACAAGAATGAGGATTATTTGAATGAGAATATGATTGTATTATTATTATTAGAAGCAAATTATGAGTATTTCTAACATATTTTAACTTTAAATATATTTATTGACCTAAAAAACAGAATATTTTCATCTAATTTAATGATAACATTACAGTTATTATAAACTAATCTAACCTTAAAACTAATGACAACATAATCTGTAAATATTGAGAATATAATTCATTATTTATTATTCTAATATATAATATATAAAAAATTTATTATCATTTAAACTATACTTAAATAATGGTTAATTGAATCATTTAATAACCGATTATCAAGTGTTTTAAAATGATTTCATTTAATCAAATGTATTCCGCAATTGATTTATTTATAACTTATTGTAATTGGGGTTTAAATCTTCCAATCAATGGCATAATCAAACATAAGGTTTTCAATTAATACTTAAACAGAACTCTTGTTAACCATTCCTTAACACAAATATAAGTTTTTGAATGAAGAGTCGGTTTGTTCTGGAGTTAAGACTAAATAATGCAAACATTAGATATATTGCAGTTATGTTCTCAATATATTCAATAATTACTATTATTAGCAAAAAAACGTTAATTCGATATAAAATCAATAATCAATCGGTATTTTTTGGGAAACCATTAAAAAGTTTTAAGTGTGAAAAAAGACAGTTTTTGTTCAAAGAAGTGCTTTAGTATTGAAAACATCGAAATTATCGAATCCTATGTTATTAGCAATTATTGTTGAATTGAATTAAGAAGTTATTCAATGTATTGAGTGATCAAAACCTCGATTCCAGACTTGTTCTCGAGATATGCATTATATCTGGTTTTATATAAACTATTATGTAATTAACTATTCTATCGATTGTTTTTGCTGTTATTTTTCTGAAAGTACTGTCAAATTAATTCAATTAACTATTTATTGAATTCAAAAATTGTATAAAAATTAAAATGAATTATAATTCACAAAATTGGTTATAAAAATAGTAAACTTTATTATCACTTCCCATATGTTTTGTCTAATACAGACATAAAGTCAGACATTTGTACTTCAATGTGATTTATCTCATCCTCTGTTATCGTCTTATCATTTAATTGTTTAATATTCCTCTCAATTGCTTTCGTCAATGCGTTCGAGCAAATGGAGTACAGGTCGGCGCCGGACAGACCCGACGGACACAAACTCTCAATCCTTTCTAAATCCACATCAGAATCGAAGTGAAATTTTCGGGTCAAAGCTTTCAATATTTTAAGTCTCGATTGGGAATCGTCTGCAATCCCGACGTACAAAAGGCGGTCGAATCTGCCCGGCCTTAGAAGCGCGCTGTCCAACAGATCCACTCGATTTGTGGCTCCGATCACAAACACTTCATTTGATTTATTTATTCCATCCATTTCTGCCAACAATTGGGACACAACTCTATCCATAACTCCTCCCGAGTCTCCGCTATGGCCTCTGTTGGGCGCCAATGAATCCAATTCATCAAAGAATATGACAGAAGGCGCACACTTTCGTGCCTTAATGAATATATTGCGAACATTCTCCTCACTCTGTCCGACAAACATATTGATCAGTTCCGGTCCCTTAACGCTCAAGAAGTTGAGTGAACACTGAGCGGCCGCTGCTTTGGCTAATAGTGTTTTGCCAGTGCCGGGCGGGCCGTACAGTAAAACTCCGGACCGTTTGAAACCAAGGGATATAAGTTGCGGGCATTCGAGTGGCAATTGAATGGTATCTAAGATTTCCGACTTAATGGTTTCGTGGCCTCCAATGTCTTCCCACTTGACATTTGGTATATTTGGAGAACCGATTGATTCGAAATGCATTTTCTGCAAATCAATCAACGCTTTCATGAGGTGGTCATTGCAGAGGACAACTCCGGCGAGAGTTAAATCACTTTCTTCGATCACACCATTACTATCATCACGTAATAAATCAAACGCATATTTAATAGCGTTTAACACCAAAGCCTTTAAATCAGATAAATAGAAAGCGGCGCTTCTTTGAGCCAACTCTTTGAAGTTGACATCACTGGTGGCTATTTGTCCGATCAGTGATCTAATTATATTTTCTCTCTCCTCGATATCCAGACAATCAATTTCTAGCGAATGAATAAACAGTGAATTCAATTCATTATTAGCAAACATTTTTGGCTCAGAATTGGTTGCAATCACTACTAAAGGATATTCACAATTCTTGTCATTCATTTCAAATAATGTTTGACTGAATATCTTTGCAATTCTCGAGTCGTCGTTCAATTCATTATTAGACAAAATATTAATATTTGATATCAAGACAACAGTTGGTGTATAAAAGGCTGCTTTGGAGAGACTTGTCTTAATCTTGGTCTCAGTTAGGACTGCACTGTCACCTAAAATGTCATTAGTGTTGATGTGATAGAGATGTAAATTCCAGTTCTTACACATTGCTCTCACAATAGTCTTCTTCCCACAACCGATGGGTCCTTCAATCATAACGGTTCCGATTGATGTATTATTGGGCATCAAATAAGGCGCTACTATTTCCGATAGGCTTCTTATGTAAGATTCTAATCCACAGGGATTAGGATTATCTTCAAATTGCATAACATTTGTTCTATAATATGAGCCAAGAGTTGCCGGAATATAGCTGTGAGTGCTTCCCGTTTGGTATAAATTTGAATGATTTGAATCAATTAAACATCCGTTCCCTTCGAGAGAATTGACCCGAAAATAAATAACAGGCCATTCATTGTGTGATAAACTCTTCAGTTTGGTTTGATATAAGGGGTCGTCTTCACTACAAATGCCAATCACATCATTCTTCACAATATAACGACTTTTATTAAAATAAGTCTTTAGTAGTGTTGAGAAGTCATGGTTTGCAGAATATTCTGGCGATTGAATGAGTGATATCTGTATTTCAGACGAGTATTTGATTTGTTCTTTAAGTAAAATGTCTTTTCGTATCTAAAAATCAAGAAAAATCATTAATAATTATAAACTCATTCGATATAATGATCTCATTTTTACCATTAATATAACGTTTGGTTGAATTAACGGTTCATTTTTAAACACTTTGGAAAGAGTTTGCAAATTAAACCACAGTTGAGGTGATATGTAGACAATATTGTCATCAGTGATAGAATCGATTGCATATATCTGTGAAAATCGTTGTTTCGGTTTTGAAGACTTATCGTTAGACGAAAGCCATATTCGGACCCAATCTTTAGGTTCGGACTTAAGTTTATTAATCAATGCATTCCTAGACACAAATACACAGCCATTTTCGCAATCAATTTCATTAATTAATGGATTCTTTGATAAAATAATAATTTTAAATGAAAATGACATCGAATTGAGAAAAGTTGTGGAAGCGGTCAGCGTTTGAATGGCTGTCCGACTATTGTGACCACCATTTGGTGAAAAAGTATCCAAACTATTACTTATCGTTGGCTTTAATAGCAATCTTGAGGTGAAGTTCATTAGATTCAATGCCTTCACAATCTTATTGTCAAATTCTTGGCTCAACTTTCGCTCACTTAATGTATCGCTTGATTCCTGGCATTCATTCACAGTTTGGCTGATATTAATCAAAACCAATTCACTCTTCAATCCAATCACACCCTGAAGAATGGGTTCGCAATTCATGACAATTAAATCATTGTTACCGTAAAATATATCATGTTTTCGACACAATTCACAGTTTGGCTGATATTAATCAAAACCAATTCACTCTTCAATCCAATCACACCCTGAAGAATGGGTTCGCAATTCATGACAATTAAATCATTGTTACCGTAAAATATATCATGTTTTCGACACAATATTTTCACTCCTCTATTCAATACCAACTCTAATACTCTTTGAGACCAGACATCAGTATTGATCCGTTCGTACAGATCATTGGTCTTCACACCGATCGTCAGTTTCTTCACTTCCGGACATTTATTGATAAATTTAAGGCACAAATCGTTTTCATTAAGCGATAAATTATAATAAGTGAGAAATCTTTGGCTAACTATCAGTTCCAATGAATCCACTCGTCGGTCAACCATTTGGTCAACACTTGAGTCGCGTTTCAATGATTTAATGCAAACAAATAATGCATTTGAAGAGTAATTCATTTCCCATTTCGGATCACTTCTGCAAACAATACATCCAATTATGTAATCCTTGTCTTTAAACATGTTATCAAAACCATTATCTCTTATATAACAAATCAGTTCATTGTTTCCGATGTTAACCTTCAGAAGTCATAATAGTGGTTTTCACAGTAAGTTACGTTTGAAATCTGCTTTGTATTAAACTAACTAAATTACCGTTATTAGAATAATATTTACTTACTTAATCACAACTTTAGTTACGTTTTGTGGATTGAAAACACGAGTCAATGGTTTGAAGTATTTCTAAACAAATGATGAAATGTATGGCAAAATCATTGAATGAATGATTGTCTGCCACTTGTGTTCACTACACTGTACTCATTGAACCCTATATTGAAAATTTCAGTTCCAAATGCCATTCAATATGTGTAACGACTGATGGCTTGTGTCGTGAAATCGCATCTCAATTATTACATAACAGTGTTATAAATGTGTGATAAAAGGCTTGAATGTGGGCTCAAATGGATGTGAAACACACTGAAAGGCCGTATAATTACTGCAATGATTATCATTCAAATGTATAGTTGTTTGAAATAAAAGTCATTCAAATTAATTGCACACCAATTAAAGTAAATTGAAGTAAAGTTTGAAAGTTTTGTTACAGTTTTGGTCCCTTTTGTAGCAGTGAGTGAAGATTGAGTTGACATTTGGTTCACTCATTGAGTGATTGAATGCAAACAACAATAATTGTTGTTCAATTATTGAATTGCAAAACCAAAGCATATGTTTGATTGAGATTTACAGTAAGATTGCATTTATTTGGCATTCATTTCATTGCAAACCAAAGCCAAACCTATTGAAAGCCATTAGTCTTTCAGTGATTTCTAGTCAATAATCATCTGAAGTGAAGAGATTGCGGAGGAATGGGAACAACGCTAAGTTTCGACTTGATATCTTTTCGCTAGCAGCTCAACTGGTGTTCTTCAGTTGGCTAGCTATGGTTTCTACTGGTGAAGACCCTAGTCAAGACCACACTCTTGTACTGATTATAAGTCCTGCACATTGCGTTAATCCCTGCGCCAGAGATCCGAGCGCTTCGGGAGGAGTCGCCGTCAAATTTGGCCACTTTTTGCTATAAAGCGGTCGAAAAACTGGTCAAATCGACGGACTGTCTCTGCAATACAACACCTCAACAGCAGATTGTCTTAAACAGTGTCCGTCTATTGACACGAGTGTTGCCATATATTTTCGAAGATCCGGATTGGAAGGGATTCTTTTGGTCGAGTCTTCCGTCCGCTTCGGTGGCCACACATGAAGACCACCACGAAGTGAGACAAGAGAACCTGCCGTTAGCCCAGTCTTTGCTTTTGGCCATTTGTGATCTCCTCTTCTGCCCGGACTTCACTGTGAGTCCGCTTCCATCCAAAGGCAGTAAATTCGGTTCTCCCGACTCTCCGCCCGAAGACTTGCAGTCCATCGACAGTTGTGAATACATTTGGGAGAATGGCGTCGGTTTCACGAATCCGATCACCAGTTCATCCATTTATGACAAAAACAGATGTGAGTTATTAAGACTTCTGTTGACGTGTTTCAGTACATCCATGTATATGACGGCCACCGAAGCCGGACATACGCCCAACCGATGGATCCAATACTTCACTTGCATTGAGAATCGTCACGCGTTACCGCTCTTTACCTCTTTGTTGAACACAGTCTTCAGCTACGATCCGACCGGATATTTACCATTCAATCACTTGCTGTTCAGCGATTCCAAAGAAACTGTTGTAGAGATTGCTCTTCAGATTCTGATCGTGACATTAGACCACGATTTCAGTGCAGACAATGCGCACAACTTCGGCAGCGCCGCCGAAGACCTACTTCAGGACAATCTGTTCATTAATTACTTGTCGCGCATTCATCGCGAAGAAGATTTTGCATTTATTTTGAAAGGCTTTACACGACTGCTAAACAATCCATTGATTCAGACATATATCCCGAACTCAACCAAAAAGATTCAATTCCATCAGGAATTACTGGTCCTCTTCTGGAAGGTTTGCGATTATAACAAGAAGTTTATGTTTTACGTACTGAAGAGCAGCGATGTTCTCGACGTATTGGTGCCCATTCTCTACCATTTAAATGATAGTCGCGGCGATCAGTCACGGGTCGGTCTCATACATATCGGAGTGTTTATACTATTGTTGTTGAGTGGGGAACGCAACTTCGGGGTTCGGCTCAATAAGCCCTACTCGGCCAGTGTTCCCATGGATTTACCCATATTTACGGGCACTCACGCAGACCTTCTCATTATTGTATTCCACAAAATCATTACAACAGGACATCAAAGACTTCAGCCGTTGTTTGACTGTTTGCTGACCATTATTGTTAACGTCAGCCCATACTTGAAGACACTGTCAATGGTTTCGAGCACTAAATTATTGCATTTATTAGAGGCCTTCTCAACGCAATGGTTCTTATTCTCGAACCAAACTAACCATCATTTGGTCTTTTTCTTACTCGAGATCTTTAATAATATAATTCAATACCAATTCGACGGAAACTCAAATCTCATTTATACGATAATCAGGAAACGAAATATATTCCACTCTTTGGCTAATTTGCCCACAGATTTCTCAAGCGTTCAGAAGTCGCTAAATAAGAAGACAATTCTAACTCGAAAACCGAAGTCACTATTTATGTCTTCCTCGGCCTCCACTTCTAGTCTATCCTCCAGTCTATCGACACCGACTTCTCCGACGACTACAACCCCTCCGACCAGTCCTTTAGAAAAGCAAGAAATGATTGCAACGACAGCTGCAGATCAAAGCGAGAGTGCACTCAATGTTTCTTTAGCCGCAACGCCAAGGATTGA